AAAAAAAAAAAAAGACAAAGCCAGCCAGAATGTCAGGGTAAGTAGAATTCTTACTTGACAAAAAAAAAATGTAGTTCTCTCCATAAGGAATTTCAGTCTCAATCTCTAGGTTTCTATTGGCATCCTCCTGTTGTGATTGAAAAGTTCCTGCCATCAAAAATACTTAAAGATGGTGACCCAATCTCTCAGTTTTTTTGACAATGTTATGAATACTGACTGTTTACTCAATTAGGAATGAGACATTGCCCACAAAATAAAAGATGACAATTTAAAAGAGCGAAGTGTAAATCCACATCTGTTTTTTATGATACAAAAAAGATTATTTTTAAATCATCAACATTTTATTCTTCCTAGCTGCCTCTGTGTGTGTGTGTGTGTGTGTGTATCTGTGTGTATCTTTGTAAATTGTCCTTCCCCATTGTGGCATCATTTTAAGCTAAGATTTTTCAAATATATTACTTTAACTGCTGCTGTTTTGTTTTATGTATTTTAATTGAAGTTTTAAATTTTGTGCTTACACCCCATGGAGTAATAACCACAAAGGGTACAATTTTATTAATTGAAAAAATAAATTTGAAGCAATGCCCTAAATAAGTTAAACCATTAGGTTATAGATGGACTTCTAAAAGATATATGGATATAAATGTGTTAGTGCTTGTGTGCCTTATGTACATGTGAATCATTTTATATAAGGACAAATAGAATGGTAAAATTAAAATCTAAATTACTTGTATAAAAATACTGTATTCTTGAACTACTTAAGTTATAATGTGTTTCTAAAGGGAGGATTTCGTGAAGATTATAACATCCCTGTCTGTTCGCAACCACTGAGTAACCACTGTGTCAATACTATGCTATGCACTAGGAAAAAAAAAAAAAAATGATCCCCCAAAATAATTTGCCCTCAAAGAGTTTGCCATCAAAAGACAGACACACAAACAGTTGCAAAACAATGTGAAAATGGCCAAAGCATGGCTAGATATGGAGTTCTATAGGAATAGATATGAAGGAACCCCAAGCTGGGACTTGCCAAATAGGCAGGCATCATCCAGGAAAGTAAAAGCTGTAGTGTCATCCCAGAGGGAGAGTGCAAGTGTGCAGAGTGCAGAGCAAGGCACCATTCAGGTAAAGTGGGGGGAAAATGAGAGATGGAGGGGGGAAGAAGGAGCTGGAAAGGTAGGAGGGACCAGACTGTGAAAGACCCTGTATGCCATGCTAAGGGGCTTGGACAGCAGGCCATGGGAAATAGAGGATTAGAGGATTTTATAAAATTGACTAATAAAATCAAATCCACATTTTAGAGAAATCATCACGATATGAAGGATGAACTGCAAGGGGACAAGAATAGAGGGTGAGGAGTCTTTGCACTACCCAAGAGAGAAATGATAAGGGCCTGAACTAAGGTACTAGCAGAGAGGCTGGAGGGCAAATTTAGACTAAATCTTAGAGGTGGAATTGGTAGGAACTGGTGAGTGATCAGATGAAAGGCAAGAAGAAAAAGGAGGAAGACCGTGACGGTTCCTACTTGGGTGCCCATAGAGATGGTAGTTCCATTTGCTGAGATAGGAAATAAAGAGAGAAGAGAAGTTGGCGGATAAGAGGAAATCTTAAGAAATTCACTTTTAGACCAGTTCTGTTTAATGTGGTAACATCATAACCAGGTAGAGATTTCAGGAGATATTTAGCTCTGTGTGTTCAAACCATGGTCTGCCTCTGACCTGTCTCATTTCCTCCCATTTTACCTATATTCCAGTCACACTAACCTTCCATTTTTTATCATTGGGACATTCCATGTTCATTTCTGCTTTAGGGCCATTGGGCTTCTTGTTCCTTACTGGAGACCTTGTATGACTGATTCCCTCACTTCATCCAAGTTTCTATTCAAAGGGCTGTCGAGAAGACTTTCCTTGCTACCTCATATGAAATAACCTCCAAACCCTACGTCACTCGGTAGCCCCAGAGCCTGTATTTTTTTCTTTATAACATGTGTCACTGCCTGAAATTACATCATGCATTCATTTGCATTTTCGCTTAACTGTTTGCCTTAATAGAATGTTTCATATGGCATCAGTCTTACCTGACATATTCTTTTCTATATCCTCAGTGCCTAGAAAAGCTCCTGCACATAGTCAGGGCTCAATAGGCAGCATCAAGGGCCCACCTAAAAATGAGGGTCACAAGGTTGTAGTGGCACCAACTTTGGTAGTTCCCTGATACTATCAGCAGTCAGCAGTTTAGACACGAAGAAGGTGAGCTGGACTGACCCAAAGCATGTAAGGTGACAAAATATCTATGTGAGAGAAAGGAGAGAGATGGCAAAAAAAGAAAAAAGAAAAAAAGAAATGGTATCCAGTCTAGATAAGAAGGGAAGTATTTAGGACTCAATTTGGCATAGGGGAGAAAAGGAATCGTTTGGCTCATGATATTGAATATCAGAAGAATAAGTATCTCTTTAAGTATATCTGATTTCATTTGCTTGAACTGGAACCTAACTTGGTCTCTTAGCTCTGCTTTTCTATCTGTGTGGGCAGAAATGACTAGATTGCTCATCATTGATGACCATCAATCATCCATCATGCTCAAGAGTGTTAGATAGGAATGCTCTACCCCATTCTGATTTCCATGAGGAAGTTTCCCCAAGTATTAAACCTTTTTGCCCCACCTTGCTTTCTCATCAGATAGAGACACTTACCTGTATGCAGGTACAGGGAGAAGCCAGAGACATGTGTAGATCTTGTCTACCATAGGAAGCTAGCGTTCTGCTCTGCTCCTCCATGCTGGAAGTTGTACAGGGGCAGGACCCCACATGGGAAGGCCTGTGCTGACCCGGGGCTGCCCTTGGCTGGATGAGCAGATCTAACTCTGCAATTTGATAACAGGAATCCTATGATTGCCCACATTCTCCAACATCAGCTTTACTGGTAATAAAGGGGACACCCAGGGACACTATCTGACTATCTCTTGTTTTATCTCTCAAACAATTCCATACTCAGGCAGGGATAAAGTATTATATGCAAATCCCAAAAAGGATTTTAAATAAAAGGTATTTCAGGAGACCAGAACCTAAAGCAGCTTGCTTTAAGACAAAATTCTATGCGTGAGCTATTTTCTTTATTGATTCAGATATTTAAAATATGGATAAAATAAAGACAAATGAAATACAGATCTTAATTCACCTGCATGGAAAGGAATCACAGAATTCAAGGACATTACATGAAATATGGCTCTTTCACATAACCCGTTAACTACTCTCCAAATACATTCAATCTATCGGTATTAACATCCAAAACTACCTGTTACATTAAAACTTAAATAATTAGAATAGATGAAAAACATCTTTACCTTTAATATTACTTTTACTTCTTTCTGGAGAAGGGGGAAGAAACTATTCTCCAACCAGCTAACATTTATTTCTCCAGTACACCCACCAAACATCAACCGAACATCTACCTACAAATGGCAAGACACTATCTATAAACACTATGTACATAAACCATCATGGTTTCTCCTTTCAAGGAACACACAATAAAACTGGGGAGATGGTACCTATGTACAAGTACCTAGTATTTGCTAAGGTAGTATTTGCTAAGTACCCATAACAGATAATAAAAGTCACATGGACATTTACAACAAATCACGACCTCTGTCAGAGGAGAAAAGCCTCTCCACAGAGGAGGAAGTAAATTAGGTGGCATTTTCAGTGGAGATAACAGAGGAAGGTATAAAAGGAAGAGCAAATGCATGGATTTTGGAAAGCACAATGCGAAGAGCTTTTGGGGAGAAACGAGAGATGAAACTGAAAAGGTATTTTGGGGCCATATCTGGAGCGGGCCTTGAATCTCAACGACAGTTAAAAATGTTTGAAAAAACTGCTGTGTGGGATGTGCAGTGAGTCAGCAAGAGATGAATAAAAGAAGTGCTGAGCAGAAATGACGGTTTGGTTAAAGTGAACAAGCACAAATGTGTGGCAGACTCAATCAGCACAGCTTTCTCCAGCAGCACTCGGCAGCCCAGCAAGGAAGCGACTGGAAGTTCAAGGTCAGTGGGGAATTTTAGGGAAAAAACAAAGGCGCTGCTGAGTTGGCTGGCCCTGGAAAGCAGGATAGGCAGGACAGAAAGGATGTCAGAAAGGACGGAGAAGAGCTGAGGCAGGGGTGTGATGAAAGTGAAGACAGGGTCGGTCTGAGCAACAAATTTAGAATGACTGACATTAAAGAGATTTGGTAAGAGACTGGATACTCACAGTTAGAGACTGTGCAGATAGATGATGAGACCCGAGGATGGAGTGGAGGTGGGGATCATTGGTGTGAGGGAACTAAGAAACCGTGGAGTCACTGACGTGGCAACAGAGAAAGTACTGGGGGCCTGAGTATCCCATAGCAGCTCCATGGAGGAGGGTGGCATGCGACAGCTGTAAAGAGGACAGATTACTGAATTCCAACCGCCAGAACAATAATCTAGAATTGGCAATGGTAGGGGCGCCTGGGTGGCTCAGTTGGTTAAGCGACTGCCTTTGGCTCAGGTCATGATCCTGGAGTCCCGGGAT